GAAATCTGTTTCCTGGCTATGTCTGTTGATTTAGTATGACAAAGCACCGGCTAATGCAGTGGAAAACTGCTCAACGTGGAAGTCTCTGCAAATGGAAAAAAACAAGTTTTATCCCTCCATCAACTCTTTGTCTTTATTTTGTCAGTATTTTTGTGACAGCAGGTTTTTTTTCTGATGAATTAAGAACAGATTTGCTGTCGCAGTATATGTTGTTCATTGTATTACAGAAATTAAGTGTTCATATTAAATTATACTTCAAACAGATGAAGGAAAAAGTTACTTGGTATTTATTTTGCTTTGATCTGCAGGATAGTCTTGCCTTGCAGCTATTGTTTTCTAATAGAAAATCCAGTCTGTTTGGCTATGAATGCTGTTCATATTCCATTGTTAATCTTGAAATCCTAATCTTTAAATCTAGAATTTGCTATTATCTCAGTGCCACTCAAGTCATTTAACCTCTCTTTTTTTTTTTTCTCCTACATTGTTCCTAATTCATCTAAAAATAATCTAGATCATAAAATTATTCCATGCCTTAATTAGAAGTTCAAAAAGAGTCGGTCCTCGAGGGTAAATGATAACATGTTGAAAACTTTAAAAAATAGGTAGTTGCCACACACGTATTTTGGCATCTGAAGATGGTTTAATTTTGCAGAAGTTTCTCGCTTATCCGTTTCCACCACTGACCTACTTCCTCAAAACCATGCCACTTTTTTTATTTGTCTGCTACAATCTCCAAGCAGGATGAGGAAAGCTCCTGAAGGGTTTTGAAGCCCCTCTTCAGGGAGGTGAAGGCTAGGTCCCCAGGCACGTTAGAACGCTTGCGGTTACCTCTTTCCCAGCTGAAGGGAATGGGACATTCCAACAATTGCGGACACCTTTAAAATTATAACTTGTAATCAATTAACCTCTTCTCCTTATTTAAAAAAAAAAAAATTCTGAATGTGTGAAAATGCTTTTTGGACCGTATTTTCTGGGGGAGAGGAGAATAAAACTCCCTCAAATATTTTCATAAACACCTTCCTCAGTATTTCACAGAATAAAAAATATCCCTGTTTGCTTGTGTCCCTCACAGAGTTTGTGTTTTTCCATGCATGAAATTTCAGATAAAAACTTGTAATTCAAAACCCAAGACTGACCAAGAAGTTTCTGAATCTCTTTCTGGCTCAGTATGATGATCATGGAGATACTGGCATATGGGTTGCAAATGGCAGGTCTTGGGAACATCATGTGGTTATAGAGACCATACAGTACCTCCTAGGAGAGGTGGAGTTTTAATCCAGAGCCCTGTCTGAGCTGCAGACATGTAGCATTCTGGTTGTCCAACATCTCCTGTATCTTTTTTTTCCCCTCTTTATCGTATAGCATTGCTTGATGCTGCTTAATGGAAACCATGTCCTTTTCACAAAAGGTCCTGTTATTTAATGGTGTAAAATGCAACATTTTCCAAAACCAGACATCTTTATAGAACTTTGTATACAATTAATTTTTAATCCTCAATAAAGAATTACATCTGTAATAAATTCTTAGACATAAATTGCCTCCTCCATTAATGTCTTGATTTTAAAGGCCACATTAATTCTTTGGAGGAAAAAGTCGTCTTTAGCAAGCATTCCAAGTCAGTAATTCTGGGCAACTTTTTTGAGGAGGCAGAGAGTTTTCCATAGGATATATTGCTGTTAACAAGAGAATGAGCAGCCTTGTCTTTCTGACTCTCTCTCTGGTGTTTATCTATTCATGCATGAGTCAAGAGGGGTTTAGTGGGGGCTGGACTGCATCAGTAATGGTGGATGAATTCACCTGTTCATTTGAAGTTATCACAATTGCTTGCCCATGTATTTACTATTATTTCTGACTCCCCTGACTCCAGAAGACTCCAGGAGTGTCTTTGCTACCTTTTCCTTTGTGATCCTTCCTGCTACCATTTCTTTCTGCTTGCCCTATACCATTTGTTCCTCTCAGTCTGTGTTTAACTCTTTGACCCCTACCTGCATCTGTTGCCTCTCTTCTCTTTCCTTCCAGCACTTCACATCTTTCTTTTGTCCATTGACTTGTTTCTTTTCCCCCCGCTCCTTGCTTTGTGAACGCATATATAGTTGACAGGATAGTGCAGACCGCCTTGCATCTCCCTCCTGCCTTCCCGGCAGATCCACCCCAGCACTCCCCCTGCCTTGCACGGGGGCTCTTCCCAGAACCAGCAATTTCATGCCATGGCCTCATATAAAACTTGATGTAAAAAAGCACCCTGTCAGTGCCCAGGGTTGACGTGTGAGCAAGCACTTTAGCTGAGGTTCAGCTTATTTCATGCTTTAATGAGAGAGGTTGTTAAGGAGATATGGAATTGGTTTTTACGAGTATCTCAGAGCTCCTGAAAAAATTTAATTTAAATTCACAGAGGCTGTTTCCAACCACTGAACCCCATGGCTGTCCTGGTCAGTGGAGAAAGAAATCGAGCAAAATGGTTAAGCCAGCTGGAATAGAGGCATTTCCCAAAGGTGGCTTTATTACGTAGGGGAATATAAAGGGATTTCCTTTATTTTGTTGTCTGAGAACAGAAATGAAATCCAGACTGGGATGGGATCTCTCTGTGTTTTTATATCATAAACACAGGGAGAGCTGTGTGATCAGTGAACGACCGGTATGAATATGCTGCTTTTAACAGCATTTAACTGGAGGCAAAAAGCTTGTTCAAGACACAGTGGGAGTGAAGTGCAGTGTTGAAAGCTTAAGCAGATGGAGCTTAAGGGGTTCATAAAATATAGCTGGGAGCAGCCCTGTGAGTTTCTGAGCACCCTGGTCTGCAACTGAAGCTGATAAGCACTGAGAGGTCTTAGGGCTTTCCAGTAAAAGGATTTTATTGCAGGTCTGGTCTGGCTCTTCCAAGCATGAGGGTCAAGATGAAAACCCTATCTGGTGAGTTGAATGACTAGGACTGTTGATAATAGGAAAGCAAAGAATAGGTCTTTAAAAACACTCTGAGTACCTTGAATGTGCAAGTCATTAGAATCAGTTGCGTGGACTCTATATTGGAGCCTGTCATGCTCTGACATTGCCATCGTAGATTATACACAAACCAGAAAACAGTGAATTGTTCCGGTACTTAGAGTGGCATAAATGTGGTCAGAGTCTGTCTTTTTTGGAAAAAATGAGACAAAACATTCTTGGTTCAGAGGGTCACTGCCACATGTAGACAAGCTGTCAAATATCCACCATTAACAGTTGGCAAAAGTTTTTCATCCTTTCCTAAACTTCCTGTCACCATTTCCCTGTCGCTGCTGGCTACAAAAGCGTTTCTGGGTAAACAGGCGCTTTCTTTCCAAAGCAGCAGCCTCTTCCTTTTCTTATCCACTTATCCACAGGCTTAATGATTCATTCGGTCGTTTTGCAACTCGGGAGCTGTTGGTGAGGTCACAGCCACTTGGTTGTGTCATCAAAGTGCATGACTTAAAAAGGAAGAACCTGGCCAGGAAAAAAAATGCTTCTGTTTATCCGCCAACATCTAGATAAGCCGCAGTTGTGGGGAATGAAAGTCAGAGAAAGTCAGTGGTCGCCAAATGAGGCTGTGATCAAACATTGTTTTTAAGAGCAGGCTGGAGTGTAGTTATGTTTTCTCAGCCTTCTCCCGAGCAGTTTCACAGAGAGCTATGTAGAAGAGCAGAATAACCTACTGATGGGGAGGCAGGGGTGGGGATGAAGGAAAGTGTTTTGCCTCTTTTTATTTTGTATAAATAAAATAGGATCTTTCAGCTGGTGGATCCTTCAGCTGGTGTGATCTGGTTAGATAAGTCCTCGACTCTGATGACTGTTGGACAAATCAGGTGCTTCAGAAGGAGGTTTTGGTGAATAGGAGAAAAGATTTGCTGTTCTTTATCAGGCCAATGCTCTGTCTTGTCCAGTACCTTCTTACTAAACCAGTAACAAGCACTGGAACATGAGAATGGCCTAAACAGGCCAAAGAAAAGGTCTGTTCAGACCAGCATTGTATGAATGATGCTCAAATGTTCAGAAAACAGTGTGAGAACAGAAAAAAAAGTGTATATAACACTGACTCTAACATTTTCCTGGCTTCTTCCCAGTAAGGTCCAGATGCCTTGGAGGAAGCGATGAGAGTGCAAGAAATAATACACCGCTATGGAATAAACTAATGAAGGAGAGGCACTGCCCACTCTTGGCAATTAGAGACTGGCTGCTGTGATGAAGTTTCTTTATTTGTATAATCCTCTCTGGGGTAACCGTAGGGAGGCTGCTATTAAGGGCAACGTTTGGACTTGTGATTTAATCCGATTCTTTGGCTTTAGCGATTACACACACAGCCGTTTGCGTGGTGGAATAAATCTGTGTACAGAGAGAAATTCTGACGCTGCTTCCCTGAGTCAGGGTTGAGCCAACAGTGAGGAGATGCTGTGGGCTACCAGAGAGGACCAAAGCAGAAGCCTTGACCCCTTGTGGTCGCTGAGGAACTGGGAGCACTCTTGGCACCAGTGCATCATTTAGCCCTAGGGACTTCATGCTGCTATGTGAAATAAACACCCTAAAACTTCAGGAAGGGGAAAAATACATCATCCATCAAATCAGGAGCTGGACAAGGCTCTGTGCCTCTGTGTGTGGAAATGGTATTCTGAGTTTTAAGCTTTGCTCATACCTCTGCTGGGCTATGGTTCTTTATTAAAAGTGTTGTATTTCGTAAGCCTTTAATGTTTTGTGCAAATGTGAATGCCTGCATATGTTCATAAAGGCAAAGAAAGATGCTCACAATACCGTTGGTGTGCTTAACAAGAACAGCTATCAAAAGACACGAGAAGGACTAGATTTGATGGTTATGTTAAAGTTAACAGCTGCCAAAGAAAAGACACCACTTAAAATTGGGGTTTTATTTTTCTTTTTTTCAGGGGTGCATTCTCCGAAGTTGTTTTGGCTGAAGAGAGAGCAAGTGGGAAACTCTTTGCAGTCAAGTGCATTCCCAAGAAAGCACTGAAGGGAAAGGAAAGCAGCATAGAGAATGAAATTGCAGTCCTGAGAAAGTAAGTATCAGACTTTCATTTCTGCTTCTTCGCTTCGATTAAACTCCTGGTTTTAAGGAGCAGGAACAGTGATTGACAAGTGTGACTGACAGGTTGTTCAGCCCATCATAGGCAGGCAAGATCACCCAAGCTTAAGTGATGCTGAAAATGTTTTGAGAAATGCTGTGCTTTTCTTTTGTATTAATACAGCCAGGTGACAGCAAAGCGGGAAAGAGGAGTTAAGCTGGGGTAACACCTATGATGCCCTAAAAAGACCTTATTCATTAATAATGTCAGCAGTTGCATGACTGGCTTTGAGGAGAGCAGGAGCAGGGTTATTATTTCCAAGTGCTTAAAACAGTCTATACACTAATTGCTCTAAAACTAATTAGGCATGCTATGAGTTGTTATAGGTAATGGTGTCAACCTGTAGCATGGAGTGGTACCTCTGCCACTTCTGGAAGTGACTTCCCAGGGCAACTTCTGTTGTATCAGGCTTGTCTATGGCGTGCAATTTTTTCCTCACTGTGGCTGGAATATGTGGATGAGAAAAAGTCAGCTCACAACTGCTATAAATTCAGTGTATGAATTCAATGTAGTCATTAGAAGCTTGATCCCTACATCTTCCTCCTCTTACGGCTTGAAAATAGGATTCGTGTCACCTGACTTAAGACACTTGGATCTGAACTTGTCACCCTTGACTTTATTGTCCATGTAATCTGTTTTAACCTTCTAAAAGCACCTTTTCTACTCATTGAATTAAATGTAGTGCAATTATATAAAAGCCTGGGTTGGGCTGGGGCAATCTGATTCCTGCTGCACTGCTGTCCCTAGTGGGACTTCTTGCCCCAGTTCCTGGTCACGTAGAAGCTGATGGCTAATCATCGGGGCACCATGTGACAAAACTGATCCTAAATCTTTAAAACTAACTAGATACTTTTGAACTAAATGCTCAGAGACCCTAATCCAAGTTCAAGGGCAAACTCAGCCATCTCAGTAGGCAGAGGGGATCCTTTTCCGTGGAGGGTGATAAGTGGGGCTCCAAACAGCTACAAGCATTTGTTGCAGTTGCCTTCCCATTGCTGGGCCAATGTCAGGTCAGTACAGTGCAAACTCAGTGATAAATGCAGCACGTTGTCTTGCAGTGTATGTTACTGAGAACCTGTCATAAAGCTCCACCATTGCCATCTCCATAACCAAGTAATTATGGCCAATGACTGGCAGCTTGAAACAGTCTTTGTCTATGTGGGTTTGTCCCTGTTACTCATGTGGAGGTCTGAGAATGGCAATATTGGCATGCAGTGAGGATTGCCTTGCATTAACCTTGAACCTAGGCTAGTAAAGCAGAGAAATCATTTTGTTTATTTCTTGCTTCTGTGTGGTGAAACATTTGTGTTCTCTGCAAACGATTTCCCAAGAAACCAGCACGCAGCACCCAGTCTGTGCTATTCCAGCTGCAAGGGCAGGAGAGTGAATGGGTGGAAAATTCCTTCATTTCATACAATTAGATCTACTCAGTTTCTTCTCCTATGCACATTAGGAACTTAAGAGAGATTTTTCCTTTTTCATCTCCTGATGTCTTCTACCTGGCTGTTGCTAATACAAACTTTGCATGTCATTGTATTTATTCTGAAAATGGACGTCTTTGCTAGCAGACACAGTATCGAATTTGTATGTGCCACCAAGGAAACGCTTAGAAAGTAACAAACTGGATCTGCCTACAGTTGAGGAGAGGGGATATCAACCTGTTTCTCCGTTCAAGAAATTCTCTGCTTCAAAATCTGTCAGTAAAAATAGATTTGAGCAAGGTGGAGTGGATCCTGAGCAGCAGTTGCTAAGCTCCAAAGGTATCTAAGTGTCCTTGCTTTTGTTTTGTGTAGCTTAATACTGAGTGGGGATGGTAGTTTGTGTGTTGTCTAATTAGTGGGTAGGATGCCAGAGCCCTGGGTTGCCCTGCATGGCTGCGAGGTGCCACAGCCTGAATGTGCCAGGCCCTGAACTGCCACTTCTGAAGGGGATGTGCACACAGGATGCCTGGCAGGAGGAATTGGTCCCCATTCCCTGAGAGGAAGTTGCAGAGCCACAAAGAATGGATGCAAAGCAAATATAAATGTGCATGTGTGTTGATCCTGGTCTGCCTTTCTGGTTTTGCATTATGTCTTTGGGGCGTGCTTAAACTCTGATGGGATGAAAGTCCCCAAGGACGCCCTGCCTAGATGAAATGCAAGCAAAATCCTTGTGATCCTTTAGAGGAGGATCTCTTATCTGACACCGGACTTTTTCCTCCTATATTCAGTCATCAGATTTTTGACTTCTTCCTGATGAGACATTACTTGCTTTCTTGTAGACATCTGCCAAGTGTTGTGAAATGCCACTCTTGGTTAGTTCCCCTGGTTGTATGTCAAAGGGGGTTCTACTGGGGAATCCTGAATATACTCCCTGCAGCCTCTACCAGCTCTCAGGTGAGCTGCTTGTGCCCCTGTGTGTGGTGAGCAGGTTTCTAGGGACAGTCAGAGATTGTGCTGGCTGTGTCCAGGACTGGTACACTCAGTATCACATATACTTTGTACCCTCAGTCTGCCCTGGTGGAGGTCATCCCCATGCCAGTCCTGCCAAATCGTTCAGATTTGGCAGAATCAGTATGGAAAAGGGTTTGAATGCTGTGTGTTGAAGTCATATTTTAAATGACATTTTTTTAAATTCAGGATTAAAAGTCTGTGCATGGAGTACTATAGGAAGAAGAACCTGGTGATGAAAGCATTAATCCAATGACCAAAACCCTTAGGTCCTCTCTCCCTTCTGCTGCTGATTTCCCATGTGACCTTCTGTCACAATATTTATTGTCTGTCTCAATATTTATTATCTGTGAAACAACATTTATTCAAAAGACTTTCAAATAAAAAGTTTTACCAACAGTTTGTTTTGCAGTCCTTTCTCGTGTCAGCAGTCAGGAGAGTGGGTGCAAGAAGGGAGGTTTCTGGGCTGGAAACTTAGTTCAGTGTGAAATGATTGCAGTGTCCTGTCAGTCCTTCTGTGCCTCAACTAAAAAGCTGTTGGAAGAATTAATTAAATGTTCTGTGTTGGGGAAGGTCAGTTGTCCCCATGTGAAGTACATGGAAGGTAGGAGATGTTATCTCTCTGTGGGCTTGGACTCTCTTGCTGCCAAAACAAAATGACACATTTTAGAAGCGATGTTCTGCTAACAGAGGAGCGAGCTGCCAGCCAACTGATCTGCATGTTTGTGTGAGTGCCAGAGTGAATCATACATACTCCATCATTTTATTTTTCCAGCCATGGCCAACAAATCTGTTCTTAAAAAAGAAAAAAGGCGGAAGAGCCGTTAAGTCAATATTTACGCCTAGCAACCTTAACAGGGTTCTTCCAATATGGACTCTTTTGTGTCCCGTGGAAATCCATGGCAACATTCCCTGAAGACTCAGATGGGTGGGGACAGAGTGGGAAGGAGCTCGCTGTTGAGTACAGTGCTGGGAGAGACTGAGTCTGCAGTTAATCCAGGAGCCTGAGCCGACAAAAAATTTAAACATGTTCCTAATTTTAGATGGTTATTCATTCTAGTGACAACGGTGAGTAGGTTGAGCTCACCTTACTGAGCTCAGGCCTAAAGGGATGCTTCAGAACAGTGTGAAAAGTCCCGCTAGGCACCTGTGTTTGGTACCACATCAGGACGGGAGTTTTCTTAATGTCTTCAGTTAGTGCCTAGATGATGTTCTGGTGTGCAGGGATTGCTGGTGTGCTGGTTGCCTGTAGCTGGACATGGGGCAATATATTACATCTCATCACAAAATCAGGTGAGAAGCTGAGCTGCATCATTCTGGGTCTTTAAAATGTACTTATTTTTGCAGTGGAAAACATGATATGGCTTAGAATCTGTTTGAGGAAGAAAAATGCATCTCAGGACAGGACTATCACAGCTCTCTTGACTAACTGGCTGTGGGGAATGACAGCACATGGTCGCCTTCGTGTGACGCGAACTTTTCCTGACCTGAGATATGGGGAGTTTCATAATCTGCTCTGAAAGCAACCATTTTCTGGGTTTGAGCAGAAAGGTAAATGCAATCCTTTCCATTGTTTGCTGTACAATAGGGGAAATTTCTTCCACTTATGGTAATTGTGCAGATGTGAACACGCTGAAAGATGAATCGTCTGTTAGATGGGTTCCTGAAGGCAGTAGGTGGTGCAAAGAGTTGGACTGCAGAGAAGCACCAGTCTGAAGTTCTAGTTAAATAGAGGAGAAACAGCCTTGTAAGAGTCAGGCAGAGAAAAATATGCCTGATTTGTTTGGGGGTTTGTTGTGGCTTTTTTTTTTTTCTTAGCTACATCACTGTTTATCACAAGAAACTTACTATAGCTGCCTGGGTAATACCTGCACAATCATACAGGATTCAGTGATGAGTCAGAGGAAAGCAAGAGGAGGAACAATAAACTGTGTGCAGCTCTGCACCCAGGTGTATTGATTACTTAATGTCAGTAATGTGCACAAATAAGTGTCTTGTTAAGCAACTTCTGTTTAGCTAAGCAAATCATGCTCTGCTTTAGCTAGTTTCTGCTGAACAGGGATTTTAAAAATAATTTCTGAACTATTTAGGTATTTCCTACTCTCACCCCCTCTTCTTTACTCTCCTAGATCTTCCAGGAGAGGTACCATTAAATTCCTTATTACAAATCAGATCCATGCCTAATTGCAGACTGAAGACATTTTTCCTGTTGAACAGCATGATTGAACTGTTTCTAGCAGGTCAGCTAAAACTCTGCCAGTGCTTTCCATTCCTTTTTCCTTGGAAGACGGGGAGACTGGCTGTTCAGGCAGTGATTCATGCCCAAGAGGCTGCCTCGCTCCTTATATGCCTGCACCTACAGCCAGGAGCTGCTGCTATAATAAGGAGCAGGGAGAGAGGTGGGGAAGCATCCTCCTGCAAAGTCAGGGAGGTCAGGGCTGTACCCATCTCAAAACTGTTCAAAAAGCAACAATGAGAGGTTTTCCTGAAGTGGGTGATATTGTC